CGCCGGGCGGGGCCGCCAGGGACTGTGGGGCGACCCTGGGCCTGGCGGACCCCGATTCCGCGGCGGGGTGCGGGGATGAGGGTCGTGGGGGCCGCCCGGGCGGGGGCGCGGGGTCTGCGTGGCCCCGGGACCCAGGGGGATGCCGCGGGTTCGGGGCCGGAGCGGGGAGCTGCGAGGCCCTGATGGCGGGGCAGGGATTTGGGGGCCGCACCCGTTCCGGGGTCCTTACAGTGGTTGGGTCTTGGAGGGTTTCGGGGGCTGGGTCTTACCGAGATGGATAGTGGGGTGCTGCGATGGTGTTGGGGTCTGAGTTGGCACCAGAGTGCACATGACGGTGCCAGGGGCTTGAGGGAGGCACGGGAGGGCTGGGGGTGCCGGGCCCGTGCCAGGGAGCCTTTCGGGGCCCTGAAGCCGGCGGGCAACATACGGGGATGGGGACGAGGGCATGGGCTGGGGTGCTAGCGCTGGGGGCGGGCGCGCGCGCACGGTCACCGCATGGGCTGCGAGGGACTTGGGGACCGGGCTGGCCCGCAGCGGGGATCCTGGTGGCGTCTGGGGTGACTCAGCAGTGCAGGGGCCACGCGGGGAGCCGGGGCTCGGCCGCGGCCTGCAGGGAGGCTTGGGGTGCCGCTTGGAGATGGGGGGCGCCGGGGCCCCGTCGGAGTGTGCACCTGGGCAGCAGCTGCCTCCGCCCGGACCCCGGCTGGCGTCTGGGGTCACCCTGGGGCGCGGGGGTGCGAGGCGGTGGCCGGGGGCCGGGGTGCGAGGCCTGGACGTGGAGCTGGGGCCGCAGGCAGCGGGGAGACGGCTTGGGCTGGGGTGCCGGGCCTGGGACAGGGCGGGGAGACAGGCAGGCCCCGTGGGAGCCGGCAGGAGGCCCTGGCTGGGGTCCCCAGGCCCACCCCCGACCCTGGCTGGAGTGGGGTCCCGGGTCTGTGCAGGCCGCAGCCCTGCACACCGTCTGCGGGGGCCGCTTGGGGGGATTGTGGGCCTGGCGGGGAGCTTCCGATTGGAAACGGCTGGGCGACTCGCGCTGCTGGGCTTGCTGTGGTTTGTATCAGCTTGGCTGGGAGTGCCTGCTTGTGGGTGGGGCGCGGAGAAGGGGAGGCCCTGGCTTTGGGGAGGCTTGTGTCCTCCCTCCAGGTCCGGTGGAGGGATGGAGAGTGGCAGGGCTGCGGTTTCGGGGCGGCGGTGCAGCAGGGACTATCTCTTCCCCGCGTGAGTCTCCAGGCTGGGAGCTGGGCCCTGCGGCTGGGGCTGCCCCTTCCTGCCGGCCGGCCTCCCTGCACCAGCTTGGGGAGGTCACGGCGGGGCGCCGCCCTCCCCTGACTCTGTGCTCCCCGCAGGCGCAGGGTCCCGGCTATGGCCGCGGCCACCATCGTGCACGACACGTCTGAGGCGGTGGAGCTGTGCCCCGCGCACGGCCTGTACCTGAAGCCCATCACCAGGATGACCATCAGCGTGGCGCTGCCGCAGCTCAAGCAGCCGGGCAAGTCCATCTCCAACTGGGAGGTGATGGAGCGGCTCAAGGGCATGGTGCACAGCCACCAGTTCTCCACGCTGCGCATCTCCAAGAGCACCATGGACTTCATCCGCTTCGAGGGCGAGGTGGAGAACAAGAGCCTGGTGAAGTCCTTCCTGGCCTGCCTGGACGGCAAGACCATCAAGCTCAGCGGCTTCTCCGACATCCTCAAGGTGCGCGCCGCGGAGTTCAAGATCGACTTCCCAACGCGCCACGACTGGGACTCCTTCTTCCGCGACGCCAAGGACATGAACGAGACGCTGCCGGGCGAGCGGCCCGATACCATCCACCTGGAGGGGCTGCCCTGCAAGTGGTTCGCGCAGAAGGAGTCGGGCTCGGAGAAGCCCAGCGAGGAGGTGCTGCTGCGCGTGTTCCGCAAGTTCGGGGAGATCCGCAACGTGGACATCCCCATGCTGGACCCCTACCGCGAGGAGATGACCGGCCGCAACTTCCACACCTTCAGCTTCGGCGGCCACCTCAACTTCGAGGCCTACGTGCAGTACTGCGAGTACGCGGGCTTCATCCAGGCCATGAGCGCGCTGCGCGGCATGAAGCTCATGTACAAGGGCGAGGACGGCAAGGCGGTGGCCTGCAACATCAAGGTCGGCCGGCCGGCGGGTGGGCGCGCGCGGTGTCGGGAGGCCGAGGCAGGAGGGTCTCGGGGGTTCCCGCTGGCGGGCGCTCGAGGGCCTCGGTGAGGCCCCGTCCCAGGCTCGCGGTGTGTAGGCCGCCGGGGTGCGTTCAGGGAGGCGGGCGAGAGCCGGCAGCGGCCCTGCCGAGGGAGCCCCAAGTGTGCCTTGTGCCTCGCGCGGCGACCCCGTCCAGTGGGGTGGCGGCCCGGCCGCCGCGGGGATTTGCTGCCGGGAGAGTGCGCGGTCGGCGTTGGGGTCGGAGGGCCGGGGGAACCCCTGGGCGCAGCGGTCCTTCCGCGGTCCCCTGCAGGGCCGAGGGCGGGTCGCGGGG